GGGCGAAGGGGACAGCCTGGCTGCTACAAGCCCTGAGGAAAGCACCGTGCCAAGCGTGGGCGTGGGGTACCAGCGAGAGCCGGAGGGCCTGATGGCATGAGTGTGAGACTTGTACAATGTGGCCAAAAGCTGTATGATTGTATTTAACATCTCAGATTCATTTTAACAGCAGAGTACAACTTGGTTATCTATATACATTGTTTGAGGACTTCCAGCCAGCTAATCTAAATACAATTAGTCTGATTTCAAATATTCTGCCTGTCAGTTCTTTCATTTAGTCTGGTGTACATCACAACTGAAGTGAAACAGCCTCAGCAATAGCAGCTAGGGAACACCGTTTGGGGAAGGTCAATGTTATACCATGTCAGTGATATTTCAAATGAAATTAAAGTGTGATTTGATCCACCCTCCCAGTTGCCAGGCAATACCTTGTCCCCCAAATCCAGGCACAGCCTCTTGCCCACCCCTCCTTCTAGGGGTAAAGCTGCACCACACCACCAGCCCCTTGTCCCCTGGACCTGAGGGTCCCAGTTCCCACATGAGCCCCAGGCACATCCCTCCACTGGGCAACACATGCTCTTGCCCTCCACCAAATCTCTAAACTCCAACCTCAGGCACCAGGGAGACTTCACAGCCCTCCAGACATCCCTCCCTGCCCGACCTCAGAGGCCAACTCCCAGGGTCAACCCACCATCAGGACTCACCACTACATCCCTCCACCAGCCCCTGTGCCTCTGCAGCTGCCTCGCCCCCCTCCAACCAGTCCTGGGGCTTTGCCCCTTCAGAGGTAAGCCAAGTTTCCCCTCCACTGCAATCCATGCGCCACCTGCCCCAAAACAAAAAATGGGACTCAAGGCCCTTCAACAAGCCACTGGGTATGCCGGGGTGCCCAAGGGGAAGGAAACCCTGAGTACAGCCATCTTCTTCCCCCCAGGCTGTCCCCAAAAAGCCAGAGAAAGCCATGCAACTTACCCTCCCCTGACACACAGGAACATCAGCAGGACTCAAGTGCATCCACAGTAGAGTTTTGTCACTTGTAAAACCAGCAGGTCAGGATGCCTGCTGGGGCCTGACTCCTGGGAAAAGACCCCCAGGCCCTCCAAGCTCAGAGATGCTCCCAGCTACTGCAGGCACCCAGGGCCAAGGCATTAGCAGTGCTTTGCCTAGTGGGAAAGGAGGGAGCAGAGGGGCCCCGTGGAGATGTGCACAGGGTTAGCCACCAACTTCTTGCCCGCTGCAACTGAAAGGCAACCCCCATCTACATGTATATCTATCAGTATAGATATACACACACATGCAGAGAGGCATGGATCGATTTTATTTCAGTCAGCAACTAATTGTGCAGGCAACACGGCATTAAAAAGGAAAAAAAGTCATGTCCTGAAAAGACTGTTGCTTTAAAAGCCATCAGGCCAGCACCTGAGGAGGGTGGGGGACCCCTCCCTTCCTCCCCCAGACCACATGAGGGTTTTGCATAGCTCCAGCCAGGGTTCTTCAGCTGTGGGGGAAACCCAGGGCACCAGTGGAAGGGAAGCAAAACCGCCACA